TATATATAAATATAAACCCCATTAATGCATTCTTTTCACTTGACTACTTGAGTTTTATCCAGTTTCGTTTGCTCCCACTTGATGAGTGTGGGCAGTAGATTTTTGTATACCCTTTGAATGAAGCAGCGGTATATGGGCTAGATCAGCTCCACATATATGTTATATATACATATATGTATATACATCTTGATAAACATCTATTATACATACATATATACTCCCCCATCTAGTGTCTCTCCCAATAGGTTTTTCCTTAGCTCTAGACAGGGCATCGGCTAGTCGAGCCCGCTCAGCTGGCGCACATTCACGTGTTCGCTAACACAGTTTCCACAGCGTCTTCCGACTGCTTGATTAAGATAAGCTCTCCATCTTGATTATCAACTAGCTAAATATATCTTTAACAGAACATTCCAGGCGCTTTCGCATCGCATTCTCTGATCAAGTTTCTCGTAATTCCAGATGCTCTAATTGCCCTATCCTGAACTTAACACTTTCAAAAGTTTCGCTGCAATAAGAGAGCCAATGGGAAACTTAACTTCTAAATATAGAAATGATGTGCTTATAAATGTTTATGTGACATATAATATAAACCAATACAGATAGATGAAATACGAAGAGGTCGGAACGGTTTTGTTGTTTATGCCAACCAAAATTTTTGGTTCTCATGGAATCGTTAAATCAATAGGAATACCTTGTTATGGCTTAGACTGCTTATCATAACTTTCTTACGAATCGTTTTACTGCCGTTTTGTTATATTGACATCCATTTATTTATGTAAGCTGATAAGTGGCTATATAGCATTTGCTTTCAAGTGGAATTCTTCTACAGACTGTTATTGTCTTGCATGGAAGTTTAAATGTTAAACTGTTATACCCTTTTATTCATTATTTTTCCAAAACTATCTATTTCATTCTTATTGGAACTGTTTAAATTTGTTCAATTTGAGTTTTATACAAACTGTTATACAGCTGTTATACTCACATTTTGCGAAATCTACTCTATATTTTCTGCTGCATTAAGTGTCCAATTTATATAAAATGTTATAATCTGTAATTTGTCCATATTTCACTTTAATATAAACTGTTATACCCGCGAGTCCATCCATTTTATACTGTTTTAGTTCAGAAGTGTCATTCTTGCTTTTGTATAACTGCTATTGATATTGTATAACTGAATATGTTAAAACTGTTATATTCCCTGTTATATTTCCCACATATTTCATTTGAGCCTGACTCTTTTCACATTCGTACATTCGAACGTCCTTAGTTCTTGTATAAACTGTTATACAGCTGTATTATTATTCGTTTAGCTACCATCGTTTAATTCCCATTTTAGCTGTTATATAATTTCTATACGTATAGGTAAATTTATAGAGCTACATTAACTTACTTCCTTTACACAATCTACCTTCACTTTTTCCACTTTAGTTTTCTTGAATTTAATTATTGCTCTTTAATTCACTATTTATCGCCTTCTCTTTCAGCTCGCTCACTCTCTCGCTTTCTCTATCTCAACCCCTTCTTTTTCCTCGTGCTCTCCCGCTCACACACACAGAGGGTTCCTTAGAGTCCTTTAGCTTTTTAACCTACAAACAAGTCGGCTAGAGAGGGAAAGAGAAAGAGAGAGAGAGAGAGAGAGAGTGAGAGCGGCATTTAACATTATTACTATGGGTGGGTTTCCCTTATTTTCCACTTTTTTTCAATCTATTCATAAAATACGCTTCGTTGACCTTTTCGGGCAAAGGGAGGGAGAAAAGAAGAGAGTGGGAGTGGGAGTGAGAGTGAGTGGGAGAGGGCGGGGGTTGTGGACATTGGATACTGAATGGGGTCAGATGACTGCAAATTATGTCACAAGCGGCAATTCAGATGATTTTAATGATGGCGAAATCAGCTACACATGGGAATTGACCAGGACACATATACAAACACATATACATATAGGGGTATAGAAAACACCCTGCCCGCACACACACACACACACACACACACACAGCCGCACACATTATTTGGAACAACTTCGAATCGAGCTGAATTAGCAGTTGCAGCGCGAATTGGAGCTACGAACTAGAAGTGGAGCTGGAACTGGAACTAGAATTGGAGGCAATTAGTGGATCAGCAAGAAACTCAGTGAACGCGCTACAGATGGCATCAATCAGCTGTATGCCAGCGCAAGCAACAGGCGTTTCACAACACTGCACCACCAATAATAGATCGCAATCGGTCATCAGCTGGTTATTGATTGCACAATTCATATGAAACGGACGATTTATTCAAAATTATTTAAAAACTTTACAAAAAGCATATGAAAAGCAAGCAGATTCCCTGAAGGCGAACGGCTTACAGGACCTATTTTGCATAGATAAAGCAACTGTTCCGCACGCCCACTCACACGCACACACACGCACGCACACACCCACACACACACGCACGCACACACACATACAGAATCGCATTCAAATTTAGTCAAATGATTTTGTACTCAAGCGTCGCAACGGACACTCAACAGAGCCATAAAATCAAGTTGAGCTGGAAAGGCAAATCGCAGCAAGTCGAAGCAGCAAATACCCTACAATCGAGGTAATAATATATTATATATGTATTATATAGGTATGATATATATATCTCTCTTTATATAGGTATCATGGACACTGGAGACGCATAGGTAATACGAATTGCAATTATCAAATATTATAATATGTATGTAGGACATGTTTGGCATCAGAGTTTCTCTCTCTCTCTCTCTCTCTTTCCCTGCCTCTGCCACTTTCTCTTTCTCTTAAACAGCATCCCTCTCTCCCTGATGTGTCCTTATTTTTCTCTCTTTTTTCTCTCCTCTCTTTCTGTATTTCTCCTGCTCTATGAAGTAAGGATCATCCGTGAGCTAAAGCATCATCTGTTTCAATCGCAACGCATTCACAGCAGATTTTCTCTCAGATGGCATTCTCAGGAAAATGTATTTAGCTATGAACACTTCTCTAGAAAACTCGTTCTCTTTCTCTATTTCTCTCTGAGGAGTATTTTCCTTTCTCTCTAACTGTCCTGCTCTTAGTGCATTCTCTCTCCGCATCCACGATCTTTCTCTCTGCTATAGTGAGAGTAACAGAGGGAGAGAGGAAAGGAACAGACATAAAGTGAGGAAGTGAAGTGAATACTCTTTGAGAGTATTTCCTCTGAGAGGCAGTTCTATTACTATCTCACTCTCACACACAAGCTGTCTCTATCTCTCTCCCGCTCCCTTTCCATGTGTGCTCAAAACCTAAATTCCATTCCTCTATTTCAGAGAACTTTCAAGACCCGCTGCCTTTTCCATTCGCTCAACCGTTCGCCCAGCATGGAATGCCTGCCTTCAACTGTATATCTAACGGGCTATGCCCACTCAACCTCAGAGTATTTACAGGCTGTAATAAGAGCGTAGCCCGAAACGTTTCGATGTACCAAAGCAAGGAGGGGACGACTGATTCGACCGAAGGACTTTATTTCTCTACATACATATATTTCTATAAGTGTGTGTGTATATTGCCGGCCTTTGTGTTTCAGACGGAAATCGTTGATGGGCAGAGAGAGAGAGAGAGTGAGACAGACAAACAGGCAGAGAGCGAGAGCGAACTATAGAGGGAGAGTGAGGACGAAGTTGTTTGCCCTGGTGTTGAGAAGTTTGCGTTTACTTTTTTGTCATGCGGCAAGCGCGGCATGTGGCATGAGGCGACCGGCATGCGGCATGTGGCATGAGGCATGAGGCAAGTATGTGTAGGTGGCCGTGGGGGCGTGCAAGGGGCGAGGCAAGTGACATTGATGAAACGGGCCGTAGAACATTAGCCAAATACTGCAGAAATTTTGCACTAGACTCTGTTTACATGGGGGTGACTAGCTATACACAGTTGTGTGTGTGTGTGTGTGTGTGTGTGTGTGTGTGTGTGTGTGTGTGTGTGTGTGGGTGGGTGGGTGTTGGGTGAGTGAGTGGTTGGTATGGGTGTCTGAAGCAACAGAAGTCGTACAAGGACAAAATTGCGAAAGCAACTCAAAAGCAAATGGAGAAGCAACAGCGAAACCCAAAGGAGTGTCACAGAATACTCTGACAACGGCTCCAACTGACTTCAAAGCCAGCCAGGTGGGCGTATCTGGTGGGCGTAACATAATGACAACTGTACTAGACATACACATACATATACACATATAAATATAAAGCTATATATTTAGACATGCTCATAAGGTTAAGCTATAAGTGAGATATTCAATTTCCTGTTGGGCGGAAATCGAATCAAATGATATCCAAAGCTATATAATGTAACATATATAACATACACATATTTATACATATACACTCATGATGAAAATAATAAGTACACCAAAATAATTTTGAAGATTCTGTCATAACTAATTAATTTTTTATATTTTTGAAAAAAAAAAATGGATGGTAACTTTAAGAAAGCAATCTGGCAATATGATGCATGCCAAAAAATTTGTATTTACCCATAAATTCATTGTAGTCACAATCCATTGAAAAGGGCCTGCTGAAAAAAATAGATACACTCCATTTCTTCAGCCTGAAAAAAAGCTTAGAATAAGAAAATTTTTTTTTATTGTTATAAAATAGTAAGTAACCTTCCTACAGATGTTTAAAGAAAAAAAATTATCAATATCATATGTAGATGGGTGTATATAAAAAACAAAACGCACGACTTTCCGATTTTCTTATCTATAATTATTTCATATATTGGCAATTTCGAGTTGCATATCCATTACTCGGCAAATCATATAGAGTGTCAATTGGTCAATTATAAAATGAACTAATGAACTTATTTGCTAAGAGGACTGCTCGATCAATCTGTGAATCAAGCAGCTAATCAATAATTTACTCTGTAAATCAAGCAGTCAGTCAGCAGACAATATCTTAGTAAATCAATCATTAAGTCACCACTTAATGAATTAATTTGTCAGCTAATCAATCAGGTAGAATATTGTTCAGTTAGTCTGGCAGTCAGACTGCCAATCGCTCTGTCAATCATTTAATCAATCAATATTCAATCATTTAGACAATCATTCTATCATAAAATCTGTCTATCTATCAGTCATACTGTCCGTCAAAATAAATGATTTGTAAAGGCTTAATCAATCAGTGCGTCAATCATTCAGATAATCCATCAGACAATCTGTTAGTCAATCGATTAGTCTATCAATCAACTGTTCTGCACTCCAACTGTTCGTCAATCAGTCTGTTCATCATTTGATCAATCTAACAGACAATTTATAAGAGAATAAATATAAGTGAATCCATAGAGCAATTAATCAGTCAATTAATTTGTTTCCCAATCTACTAGTCAATCGACGGTTTCTTATGCTGCAACTCCATCAATGAGTTAGTCAATCTATCGATAAATCAACCAGTATGCTAGCCAATCAGTCCGACCATCAATCAGACTGGCAATCAGTTTGCCAACTAGTCTGTCTATCAGTTATGTAAATGATTGTATTTTAATGTTTCTGCTGCACGAATACATTATTATTCCACTATATGTAGTTATTTTTTAGATACATTAATA